ATGGTTCTACTCCACTTTCACTTCGGTTGCTGTCAATTAAGCTGGGAATTATAGAAGGAAGTTTAGTAATGGGGGTCGGGATGGGAGTAAGAGAAAAAGTTGGAAAAGAAAGAAGAGAGGTGCCAGCAGTAGCATGTTTTCGCTTATCCGCCCTGCTGTATACAGCAGATAAGGTGACCCTTGATAATCTGCGAGACGGCCGATGCAGGATGAAATTTACGTTTGAAGAAGATGTCATGGTTGTATGTGGGCTTAGATACTGCCAGGGCACTCAGACCTAGACAGGAGGACGATTAAGGTCCTCATCCAAAGCCTTTGGCTCAAAAGCCTGTCCGTAAGGCAGCGGGGAGGTGGCAATGATTTAGTTGTACAGAAATGGACGCCATCCCATTTCAAACCCCCAACCTGGAGGACCAGGAGGCTGAGTTTGTCTTACCTCTCACAATTGACCAACCTGGTAGGAGTAACTCGCAAGATGCTCGGAGGCATCACCCAGGATAGCTCAATGGGTCAATGAGGTACGCAAACCGTCGCACCAAGTTAAGGTCCAGTCTCGTTGCGACGGATCAAGATATATATTGGGTCAATATAATACGTACTCTGCATACAATTTCAGAACAAATACATCGAATCATGGCGCATTCCGTGCAAAGCAAATACAACTGAACAGGACTGACAATTTTCAACAACGCTAACTAAATTTTACTTAAGACAATGAGAAGACTTATATTGTGAGATGGAACCATTTCGTGATATCTGCTCACTCGCAAACTAAGTACATAAATATGAATCATGTGACAGAAAAATCAAAAGTTTGAAACTGTTCACAAAGAAAAATTTCGTAGACGCAAGAATAACAGATCAACGAGCTTGCTCTTGGAATCATGAGCCCATAGGAAGCTTTATGGAGACTGTTAATTGTTTCTGTACACAAAGGATTGGGCTATGCCGGTTAAGTGTCACCGTTTCGGCAAACCTCAAAACTTGGGGTTTTCATTTCGATAGATAACTGTAAATATTGACCCAGGGTCAACCTGATGGCGTGTTTCGAGTAGATGTCTGACGACAGATGATGCCGGAAGCTTAGATACCTTTTCTCGTTCGGCTGTTTTGTTGTGTCCATATTTTAGCAATCCGTTGTGTGATATGCTCTCCAATGCGCTTACTTAAGGATCGATCTGTTCTGCCAATGTAACTACTTCCGCAGTTACAAACGAGTTGGTAAATACAATGGGTTTTGGCGGAGATCGGTTGAGTAGGCTTCACTGGAGGCATAGGCAACTTCCTGGTCTCCCAAATTTTGCAGAATTTGGCGGCATTGAATGTCCGACGAATTGCTGTATGCAAACGTCTTTCAAGTTGGGCGGCCACGATATCACCTTTGAAAGGTAGTTGAAGGTAGACAGACAGTTCGGGCACAGTAAGTACCCTCGGTCTAAATTTTACCAAACAGTGCAACAATTCAAGTGCTCTCTAAATTCAGCTTAGAATTACTTTCCCCTGTGCCAAGCGTTGCTCACGGATCTCAGCAGCATAGTCTTCAGGACGTCAGCCGTGAACTACTAGGCTCTGAGTTGCTATCCAGCTCAGGCCAACTCCACCTGACGAGTCCAAACCAGGATGGAACCGCGATCGTGGTGTGCCAGTGTTGGAAAGTGCAACACCCACATATTTCAACTCACAGTTCTCTGAAACCACGCTGTACATGAACCACAAAAGTTAATTCCACACACTGTAGAGCAGCGTATCGGAGTTCTGGCCCTTACTTCATTATTGAGAGAAGGCTATTGTACATATCGTTTAGAGGAGGCATTCTCGACCTTTTTTCAACCGTGACCCCCTTTTGAACCTTTCCATTTCTTATGGCCCCCCACCCTTGATCATCACAGCTTCAGCACTCCGCAATGTCTAACCGACGTAAATCTGTGATTTCAAGTGCTCATATTGGTATCTATTGTTATGATGACTAACTTTTTAATGTTCGAACCACTGCTCTTTCCTTTATGAACCCATTTTTTAGCTTTCACAGCTTCAAACTAACATTCATTTTTTGGCAGCATGAAGTCACTTGTCTGTAATTACACAAAGATCACCATTAGTATTTAATAATTGTATTTAACTATTGTTGGCTTATAACTGCAAGGCATGTCAAAAATTACGAAATGTGTTAACCATAACAAGATGTTTTTTTGATTTATTGTTGCGAGCTTTGAGCCTGATGTCCTTGAGCAAGCTGGCTTATGTCCGGTTCCAGACTTGACAGCGAGAGTCGAAGATCTCCTCTTGATGTGATGTCCAATCTGCAGCTACTTTTGTTTAGAGAAACCACTGCTGAATCCACATTCAACCAAGTATGTGGATGGAAAAGCAAGTAAAAATGTCTCATCTACCTCCCACAGTCTGGGATGTCTGTTAGGGGTATCAGACTATCCAGAAATCCCCTTTTTATATTGCGTGAATTTGGATCTTGCTAGTCTGTCACGTTGAAGCCATACAAGACTTTCCTGGATTTTATCTCCAACATCGAATGGATCTAGGATTCAAATCGGGATATCCATATCAATCAGGTTGGGAAATCTGTCTTTCATTTCTTTTCGGAGTTGTTGTAAATGACTGGCATAAGCAATCCAGTCTTATTCTTTCAATTCCTGCGTGACTGTAGCAAGAATCACATACTGCAAATTCCCGACATCCGATATTTTGACCATAAACTACCAACCTTTTAAGCAAAACCATAGTGGCTTCTTTGCCCGAGAAGAGATTACTTAACTTGCCTTACTTTGCCTTAAGAAGTCGAATTTCTCAAATATATCAGCCAGATAAAACATCTGGATTAGATATTAATAATTTTCCTTCATAATTAATTCAAGAAAGAATTGTGATGTTGGTGTCCCAGTGCAACGAAACAACGAAGTCAGTTACCCTTGAACAGGCATCTAACTTCTGTATGCGGCCGTAGAACCTGGAAATCTTCACTGTTCTCACACAACTTTGATTTGATTTGATTTTGGAGAGGGTGCGATTTTATATTGTTGACTACTATTATATCAGTTGACAGTGAATCGTTTAAGCGCCCTCCCATGTTCTTAGTCACTAGGTGCTCTGGATCAATTACACAGTGAGTTGTATAAATAGAATGGAGAATCTTTTTTAGATGGGCAATAAATCCTTTATATCTTCCTTCCGTTGCGGCAGCACCATCTGTTGCGCATGCAACTATGCTCTGTATTGGAATGGAGTTGTCGGCCAGATAGCTATTGACTACCTCAACTACTGTCTGGCCCTTTGTATGAGTTTCAGTTATTCGGGAAAACAGCATCTCTTCCATTAATACATTATTATTGAATAATCGGACATATGCCACGAGTGGATCGTTGTCAGGTAAAGTCGGTGCATCTAATTGTAACGATCAGTTTTTGTGGTAAAGTAATTAAAGTACATTCTATATCCTGAGCCATGTCATCTATTCGCATAGATACATTCGAATTGCTGATCGAACTGCTTTTTCTAAATTCATATTCATCAGCTCAGACACTAATATTGATATTGAAGGCAAGATAATATTTCAATATATTGGAATATGTTTGGAACCGACTGTGATTTCATGATTTCAGAAGGTTTTGTATACAAATCGGTTTTCGTAGAGTTTTATTGTGGCCACAATAAAACTCTACGAAAACCGATTTGTATACAAAACCTTCTGAAATCAAGATAATATTTCTTTTAACATTATGTGAACTGCAATTTCTGGCAAGCAATTTGCTGATTTTATAGCATACCGTAAGTCCATTCGCCATTTTGTGCTCTGTCAGCAACTATTATTTTTAATGTTGGTCTGTTTACGAAACTACCCATAGACTTTCCGCTTTCGTCCTTTTGAACACTTTTCCAATTATTTCTCAGTTTGTTTGATCGCATACTTTCATTTGTATTAGTGTTCCGTCATATTGAACCTATAAGTGGAGTGGGGTTTTGTGATGATGCGACAAATCCAAATGACAAGCATTCCACGAAGTACTGGCGAGACTTCTTATCTGCCCAGTGGGTTATTTCTGAAATGTCATTGTAAATTTTTAATACGTAATATATATATATATATATATATATACTGCCTTTGTTTTATATTTCTCACAGCTACATCATGGGCAGTAAATAGCCTGATTCGACAAAGCGAAACACGCAGATGGTATGAATGATTGGTGGCGCTAAATTTATTCTTGCTTGACTGTGAGATTATTGGATACGACATTTAGTAAGCATGCTTGTGACATATGTTGGTGGCTTCAATATTATAATGTGAGAGCGTAGAAAGTCTCCTAGAGACAACCCAAAGGTGGTTTCTGAAGATGACTTTAAAAATACCGTGGATAGCTAAAGTGACTGAAAAAGCATCTGCAAAAAGTCAACGGAGAGAACAAAATTAACTCGAAAAATGACAATGCTCGGTCGACACATATTCACTGTAGGAAAGCTACACCAAAAATTGACAACAAGTAACATGTAGAAAATGCCGGATAGTTCAAGAAACCGGCGTGGGAGAGTCAATAACGAAACAAGTCCCAGAATAGCACATTAGGGCAGTCGGTTGGACTCGAGCCGATTATGGTAGTGAGGCCATATTTTTCACGCATCTGCTGCCCGCTACTCTCGGCAGGCCATCTTTTTGCCCTTGGGGTTCCACAGCGGACGGAACCGCTTGCAATGCCAGTAGGACCGGATCGTCCCCTATCCTCCTACTTGCAATGTAGCGTATTTAAACTACTCAACTTCCTCTTCCATTCATTAGTTCAGTTAAAATTCTATGTTAACAGCGTTTGTTTGTCCTCTACCTGTTGTACTTTTTATTTTTTTGTGTTATGCTCTGTGTTTCACCTTTTCACTTTGTCTTTTTGCCCTTTACAGTTTCCATCATGGATGTTCTAATTTCTCGTGATCTTTCAGCATCTAGATACATATTGCTCAACCGACAGATCGCGTTCATATTTTTCCCACTCTTTTAGGTCGGCCCGTTCTTTCCCAATGTTGTGATCACAACTCCGATGTGGGTCGCCTTGTTTCTAAGGCAACAACAAAAATGCCGCATCATTCCACCTGATTGGCTGACTGTTGAGAAATTAAGTGACTGCAAGGAAGCCGAAGAATCGGAATCTGGTTGCACTCAGCCTCCTCATCGCCAGTACATGGAGTTAGCAAATCTATTGCTGCAACATGCTCCCGAGGACTTACAAAAGTATGTAAGTTGAAGAATTCGACGCCTATTCGTCACACGCTTTGATCCCTCACATCTGCTAGGACAATGCGATGCTACGTATCCTCCACACGTCGATCGATTAATCAAAGTTTGCTTGGCTAATCATCAGCAGACATTTTAGTATTTTTGTCAGGTAGCAGCCGTCGCAGTGACTCCCCCTTATTTGCTAATCTCCATGGCTTTGTTGGCTCTATGTCTAGTTGCTAGACTGTTGACATTACATACATACAGCAACCGAAGTTACTTATTGTTCTGTTTGAATCACTGCAATAACTTCATCGTACATTCCTCACTGTTGCCGGATCACTCTTCATATTTAGCATCCAGAAGCGAAAGTAAGGATGTACCACTTTATCGAATCGCATTCTGTTGCTGAGAAACTTGGTGTTGCTAAGCCATACAACATCCAGGTTCTGTAATCATAGTTCTTCGGTATGTATGGGCATCCCTCAGTGTAGCCGGCATTTCTTTGATCTTCGTTTTCATCCTCTTCATTACCTATTTTTTGTGTAAATATAGTTCCTTCGATTTAAAACTGAACCGTGAATTCGGCTGAGCTACCACAAGGCTGCTGCTCTACCAGCGGTCTTAATCGGTATCCTGCCAAGCTTCTCCGACCCACAGTGCACGTAAGCGGTTCGCTTCGCGTGTCGCAACACCGTTTGTCCAAATTCAAATTACACTGCTCCAACATGCAACTCTTGGCTTCCGAGCGAATTCCTTGTATTTTTCGGACTGCATTCTTCACTGGTAGGTCATGGGCCTTCGTTGCTGCTCGATTGGATAATTACTAAACAACTACTGGCTGGGACAAATCCTACGTGATACGCGCTGGCTACACACTGCACTCCACGACTGGTTTCCCACTACTTTACATTCGTAGGGTGGAGATCGCCGGGCCGCGACTCGGACCCTGGACCTATCGAAGTGTCAACTGACACCTTCACATGGTTCCAACTGGGTGGTTCGGGTTTTATCCCCTTTCAGCAAATAGTTCGATAGCAGCGTTTCAGGACGTAATGGATTTTCGCGTGGCAAGCATTCTCCTTATAAAAAGTAAGATGTCCGTCTGACAACACTGCGACGTGGCGGATGTGACTCGCCATTAAACAAAGCCACAGTCCCTTGCTTCACTCGGGTTGAGCATTGTATTTCAACAACGTGATGCTGAAATTGTGGAGAGGTTTGGGTCCCTGTTTGACAACCGACCAGACGAAAGGCGTATGAACTGAACACTCAGTCACCGACTCCCTGAATATGCCTCGCGGCTTTCCGGGTAGGCTATTTAGCCAAAGGCTCGACGTCGTATCCCCTAAATCAACCTTAGGCAACCGGGTAATATATTGCCCTCTAAGGAAACCAAGTATTTCTCATAGTGGTGTTCGTTTTTTTATGACAACCGTACCTTCTTTTGATTTCCCCGTTTTTTGATGGCACTTGGTTTATTCACGTAGTGATTGTAGGCACGCTGCATTCGATTTACTAACCGCGTGCTTGCATGCTAAGACTATTTTAGGTGGTGGGTTTTCAATTTTGTCCTAATGCTTTTCCTTCTCATATAAATGTCTACCTATACTCTCTTCTATAAACTTGCACACATTGCTTAAGCCAATGGTAGTTAATTTCGATAACATTTTCGTGTTTGTGGCATTTCCGCAACATAAACTTTCTGACCTCGTGAAGTTATCTAGGATTCTTTTGTAAACAACTTATTTCATATGCTCGTTACTTTAAACTTTATGTCACTGTTTCCTTGTGCATTACTCGATTTATTTTCTTTGTTATCTTTCTCTCAAGTGATTGGCTGTTGCTTGACATCCCAGGTGTGGGTGCGCTTGATGTGCATGTTGACAAGGTGCCTACCTGTCTGTTACCCACTACCTCGTCCATACTGGCTCTAGGAGACATTTGGTCGTTGCTGGAGGAGACGGGGTGCACGGTCCTTGTGGCCGTGTTAGGATTATAGAGTGGTTCCATGCACATAGTGTGGAGCGGACTACAGTCCAGCCACCGCCTTGTGTGCGCTTGATTCCCAAATACAACGTGTTTGTATTACTTATGAGTAGAAGGATTTTGGTGAGTATTTTTGTTCGTCGCAATCGGCCGACAATTCAGATAAGTCAACTACCTATCCGGGAAGGCGCCAGACGGCCGTTTCACCCTATTGGGGCTCGTCAGTGTCGTCGGCTGATTACGACGAACAAAAATACCAAAATCCTTCTACTCATAAGTAACACAAATTCGCCCTTACGGATTCCATAAATGCCATGTCGATCCATAGCTGCTGTAACCGGGAAGTCCTGACGCCAGAAGGCCAACCACTGTCATCTGCATGGCAGGTGCCTGCATGGCAGTGGAGGATGGGTCGGGCTGTCTCAGTTAGCTAACAATTCGTGATGGTCGACTACCGTCTTCCATGGCGCAGTTGCATAAGTTGCGGGCTAGTTGGCACAAGCCACTAGCATTCATGAATTCGATCCTCCGTAGAGGACCGAGGGATGCGCATCACTGACGAGCCCCAATAGGGCGAAACGGCCGTCTGGTGCCTTTCCGAATAGGTAGTTGACTTATCTGAATTGTCGGCTGATTGCGACGAACAAAAATACACGTGTTTGTGTTTGCCTGTGAACGAGTGTGGGCCTGCTCCGTTGATGAAGCGTGGCTCCCATCCGCATTCCTCCCGATCTTATTCCTTCGGGTTTACACTGGATATGGGGTGTGTGGTTGGAACTGTGGGTAGTGCAGCGCAAGCCACCCATGGTCCCTCAGTAGTCGCAGACATCCTATGGCTGGCCACAGTGACAGGCAAATCCGAAACCGGATGCCGCTAACCATATATATATATATATATATATATATATATATATATATATATATATATATATATATATATATATATATATATATATGGTTGGCGGCATATATATATATATATATATATACCGTTGGCAGCACATGGTTTCGGATTTGCCTGGCACTGGACGCCTGCGCCTACTGTGAGACCATGAGTGGCCTGCACCGTACCACACACAGCTGCAACCACACACCCCATATCTTGGGTAAACCCGAAGGAATAAGACCGGGAAGCATGTAGACGGGAGCCACGTTTCATGAACGGAGCCGCTATACACTTCTTCACAGGCAAACACAAGCGCACTGTAATTGGGAATCAATCGCACACAAGGCATTGGCTGGACCGTGGTCCGCTCCACGCAGGATGCATGGAACCACACTTCGAGCCTAGCACGGCCACAAGAACCGTGCACCCCGTGCCCTCCAGCAACGACCGACTGTCTCCTGGAGCCAGTATGGACGACGTAGTGAGTAACGTACAGGTAAGCACCTTCTCAATATGCACATCATGCGCAGCCACACCGGGGATATCAAACAACAGCCAGTCACTTGAAATAACAGTAGCAAAAAGGATTTCTGTTAAAGCCTACAGCTATGCAGGCATAAATCTTCACCAAATTATCATATATAAGTTGCTTGGCAACGTATAAGCCACAACTACAAATGTCCACAAGTTTCTCGAAAAGTGCTACAAACGCAATAAAGTTAACGAAGATGAGCACAGTTAGCGTAAGCAACGTGTGCAAGTTAATAGCAACTTTTTCAGATAGGCTAAACAAACCAAATAAAGTGGAATGCAATTTATCCAGCTTAAAAGGACCAAGTTTCAGTGTAAGTTGATTGATGGCAGAGCAAGAGATCCAAAAACATATGCAACATACAAGAAAAATGGACGAAGTTAACCACCTTTTGTTTAAGCGATATGTGTAAATTAACAAAAGATTATTCAGATAGACATCAAAACGAAGCAACAAAATAAACATTACTTCCATATATCAAACCGATCACTTGAAATAAAGAAGCACATGCAGTGTACCTACCAATGCTGCGCCGGTTCTGCTTACGTTCTCAGCAGCATCCGTCCTCGTTTCGATTGGCCTCGCCCCCGACTCACTAGACCTGCCTAACTCAGGCACTCGCGGCCGCATGTGCTACAACACCATGCGCTGCACGTCGATGGAATACACTCCATCGGCGTCTGCCGTTTCTTCACCGCATGCACGAGGGCTTTCTCCTTCATCACCCCAACTGCCTTCAGATCGCACCATGCACGCCGATCAACCGCCTTCGATTCCCAACAGCCAAACCAGCATTAAAACGTTATAGGCTCACCTTGATCATGTCTTGGTAACGAAGCTTCAGTTTCCCCACAATCAAGAGACCATAAAACAGTGCTTCGGTATCGACGTAGAATCCATACGGCGCACATGACCGAGCCACCTCGGGTGTCTCAGCAAGAGTATGCAGTCCACTGCATACATTCCAATTCAGCGCAAAACCCCCTTGTCTGCAACTCAGTCGCACCGACCGATGCGCAGAATCTGTCGCAGACACTGTTGATGAAACCGCTCGAGATATCGCACATCCTGCCGGTACATCGTACACGTTTCGCTGCTGTATAGAAGAACGGACTGCACCATTGATTTGTACACCATCAGCTTGTTGTTAGCTCGTTGCCGTCGCAACGAGACTGGACCTTAACGTGGTGCGACGGTTTGCGTACCTCATTGACCCATTGAGCTATCCTGGGTGATGCCTCCGAGCATCTTGAGAGTTACTCCTACCAGGTTGGTCAATTGTGAGAGGTAAGACAAACTCAGCCTCCTGGTCCTCCAGGTTGGGGGTTTGAAATGGGATGGCGTCCATTTCTGTACAACTAAATCATTGCCACCTCCCCGCTGCCTTACGGACAGGCTTTTGAGCCAAAGGCTTTGGATGAGGACCTTAATCGTCCTCCTGTCTAGGTCTGGGTGCCCTGGCAGTATCTAAGCCCACATACAACCATGACATCTTCTTCAAACGTAAACTTCATCCTGCATCGGCCGTCTCGCAGATTATCAAGGGTCACCTTATCTGCTGTATACAGCAGGGCGGATAAGCGAAAACATGCTACTGCTGGCGCCTCCCTTCCTTCTTTTCCACCTTTTTCTCTTACTCCCATCCCAGCCCCCATTACTAACCTTCCTTCTATAATTCCCAGCTTAATTGACAGCAACCGAAGTGCTACTGGAGTAGAACCATCTGCGGCCACCATTCCACAGCACCTATCGGACGCCTATCGGCAAAAGTCCCTTATAAGACCACGCTGTCCCGTTTCCATGGCGACATTCAACGCCCGCACTCTGAGACAAACAGGTCTGTAGGCTGCACTCGCACGCACCTTGGACGCACTGGGTGTTGATGTGTGTTGTGTGTCCGAAACTAAGATTAATGACCCTAACGGGGTTATTGAATCGACTGCACCCGGCTTATCCTCTCGTTATTGGTTGTAGGCATCCGGAGACATCGATGCAGCACTCACGGGTCAAGATGGTGTAGGTATCATTCTCAGCTCTAAGGCTGAGTCATCGCTGGTTGA